ATGAATAGTGGCAGGTCATTTAGAAAAATCGCCCTGTTCTTTTATGATTTTATTATCCAAAAATAAACAGTTGAGTGGTACTACCGTAATTGTAAAATAGTTTGGGGACAGGATAGTAAAAAATGACAGGACAACTACGTGGCGACCTGGGGTTCCAGTCTGGTTCCACGGACGCGGACTTACGTCCAAAAAACACTGACAGCCCACTCCTCCACTGTTACTCTAGCTAACTCAGCAATAATCGACAACAAAAATCCCCAATTTTTAACAATCTTCAATCTAAATCCTCGATCTTACCACAATTGGGTCAATTGATGCCGGAATCCGTCGCCATGTTGTCGGAAGACACTATCCCCAAGTCACCTCTCGATAAGCCGCTCCAGCAGCTCACAGAAGATGACATTTCTCTGATTACCCGCGAGGACTGCCGCCGTTACCTCAAGGAGAAAGGTAATGCTTATAGTTGACACTAGACCATAATTTAAGCGTAGAATGAAGGTTAAATTGCAGAAAAGAAAATAATTTAGGAGATGCTTGATGTTATATGTTTTGACTAGGAATTTGTTTGGGTGTAGGGATGAGGAGGCCGTCATGGAACAAATCGCAGGCGATTCAGCAAGTGATAATGCTCAAGAGGCTACTTGAAACGACGACGTCAGATGCTGAAGCTGAGCCTCGCAAAAAGCTCTACATTCCCCGTCCTAATAATGCTAGTAATGAGGACGATGATAATCCTCAGCGCGTGAGTATTTTTATTTTTTTTGTTATGGTTGTTAACATTATAAAAGGAATAAAAGATTCTTTGCAGGTTCTGCCTTGAAATTAGTGACACTGTTGAATTACCTATATATTTACTAGTTAGTTATCACATTGATTATATAAATATAGGTTTCTGAGGGAACACTTGAATCAGCAGAAGAGAAGCTGCTATTCCTGGGAAAGGATCTGGGGAAACCTGATTCTTCTGGTGATCTGTCTGGGGGCTTGGTTGCCGCCAACAGTGAATCTGCTCCTCCTAGGTGATTTTTTGTTTTTCACTCTTTAGTCAATTATAAGCACATACTCAATTATCTTAATATATTAATAATTTATTTTAATTGGTTATTAGTTAATAATGTACTCCATGTACCAGTTACTCTTGTTGAGAGTTGACTTTTTTGCCTTGTAGAGTGTAGATCATGTTGGATACAATCAAACATAAGAATTTGTTTTTTTTTCTGCAGTTTAATTTTCATCCGATATTTATATATCTTTTAAGATTTTCTTATCAGCTGAAGATAAATCAACACTGTTCTTTGGATTTTTGTTTAGCATTTTTGGTGTGTCTTGTATAGTGATTCATCAATGGAACTGCTCCACAATATTGCTGACTTATTTCACTTGTCCATTTTCCTGAATTTAGGAAGCATAGCTGCCTTTAAGTGAACACAAATGATTAGATGCATGCCTGGAAGCTTTTAGATTCCAAATATTTCATTTATGTGAGAACAAGGGTAAAAATATATTTGTCACGAATTACCTTTCCTTGTCTATGATGTATTCTGTACACATCTAGTGTTGATGCTAATTCCACCTACAATTGAACAAATGAACAATGTTAGTTATGGAGTTAACTTGAAATCAAAATGAAAAAGGAAAAAAATTGATGAACAATAAATTCCCCTTTTGATTCAACTCAGAAAAGTTCAATCCAACACCACAAAGGCAACACCAATTGGAGACTTTTTCAATTACAGAGACAGAGGCACACAAAGGCAGAAATTGAGTTTCTTTTGCAATCACAGGGAGAAGCACACAAAGGTAGAAGCTAGGTTTCAGAAATGCACAAAGGAAAAAAAGATTTCTAGAAAGAATCCGCTAGATAGACTTCAAGAAAACTAAAAATGGTTATCAAGGATAAGGATAGTATAATCATTGCAACCATTTAAATCTCACGTGATTTCAAATTATCTCCAAAGTTGGATATTGAGCATCTGGCCCAATGGGTTGATTTTCTCTAAATACCCAACACATTGTGTGGATTTATAATATTTTTCAATCTTGGGCTTATAGCCTATGAAGACAAATGGGCCTTGTTTTCTATTATTGCGTAAGGGTTATTTGGGCATCACTCACTAAAATATCCAACAACCTCCACCTTGAACCTAAATTAACCTGCGAGTTAGATAAGATAACAAATAACTTAAGGAAAGAGACTTACAAGTTTGTACAAATGTTTAGAAGATCAAGGTAGCTTCTAAACTTTACCAATGGGAGCACTTTAGTTCCTATGGCTGCAGGATTATATTCTGAAAGGACTTTCTCAAGTTTTACCAGTTCTTGAGAAACCATGTCTCTAATGAAATGCAGTCTAACATCTATATGTTTAGTACATTCATGAAAGACAGGATTTTTGCATAGATGAATAGCAGATTGACTATCAGAATATATTGTCACATTGTCATTAAAAACACCAAGTTCATTTAATACATCTTTAAATCACAAAGATTTTTTAAAAGCTTTGGTAGCAGTAATATATTCTAATTCATTAGTGAATAATGCAACAACATGCTGAAGTTGTGATTTCCAGCTAACACATGAATTACACAAAGTAAACATGTGAGAAAATGTAGATTTGTTATTATCTTTGTCACCGGCATAATTAGAACCTTTCAATTTTACTCCTTCAGTACTAAACTTATATATCAAGCNTGTAGATTTGTTATTATCTTTGTCACCGGCATAATTAGAACCTTTCAATTTTACTCCTTCAGTACTAAACTTATATATCAAGCTAGTATTGCATGTTCTTTTCAAATATCTAAACAGCCATTTTAATGCTTCCCAATGTTTGGGACTAGGGTTAGACATATACCTATTAAGTGTACTAACAGCAAAGGCTAAGTTAGGTCTAGTACACACCATTAGATACATCACAGAACCAATGACATTTGTATATGGAATCATTTTCATATATTCCTGTTCCTCTTCATTAGCAGGTGATTGTTCTTTAGATAATACAAAATGATTAGCTAAAGGCAATGTAACAGGTTTGCATTCATTTATGCCAAATTTGTTCAAAATTTTCATGATATATGGAGACTGATGAAAAAATAAAAATGAATTAGACGTATTTCTTTAAATTTCCATGCCTAAGATTTATTACCTAGGTCTTTCATATCAAATTCATTACTCAAAATAGTTTTTATATCATTTAACAATTTCAAGTTGGCACCAATCAAAACCATATCATCTACGTATAGCAACAAAAACGTACAATTATATTTGCATTACCTCAATAGTATAAGCAATGATCAAATTCACTTCTTTTAAAACCAACTTTTTGAGCAAACGAATCAAAACATTTGTGCAATTGTCTAGGAGATTATTTTAGACTATACATAGAGCGTTTAAGAAAACACATATGATTAGGTTTTTGTTTATTTTCAAAACCTTTAGGTTGATCCATAAAAATCTTTTCATCGAGTTTCCCATGCAGAAAAGCAATTTTAACATCAAGTTGTTTAAGTTCCCAATTAAAATGCGCAACTAATGCAATCATAGTCCTAATTGTGATATACATAACAACTGGAGAAAAGATTTCATTATAATCTACCCCTTCCTTTTGCGTGTAACCTTTGGCCACAAGTCTAACCTTAAACTTTAAAGCTTCTCCTTTGGTAATTCCCTCCTTAAATTCTAAAAACCCATTTTCACCCAATAATAGACCTATCTTTAGGTCTTGGAACTAATTCCCATGTCTGATTCTTATTGAGGGAATTTATCTCTTCTTTTATTGTTTTCACCCAATTGTCAGATTGTTCACTCCTCAAGGCTTCTTCATACGTATTTGGTTCCCTATTAACTAGTTCTTCATAAGTAGCATAAGCAAGTTTAAAATCAGACTCTAACCTTTTAGGCACCATGTATGTTCTTCTAACTTTGTCTTTAGCTAACTGGTAATCAGATAAAGGATTTTGCTCTCCTTGATATTCATCTATAACCTCGTATCTCCCAATATTTTTACTCTGATTATCTTCTAATTCAAGATTTGATGCTCTACCTCAGTTAAGGTGGTGGGGGTTTTGAACACTTAAAGACCTTAAATCCACTTGAGATTCGTCACCAGTGTTTTCTAGCTGTTTTTCTCTCAAGTTGTTAACTTGTGATTTTAGACTCATTAAATATAATATCACGACTAATGATGATCTTAACTCTAGTTTAACTTCTGTCCCAAAGCCTATACCCTTTAACTCCTTCAGGGTATCCTAAAAAAACACATTTCTTAGCTCTAGGTTCTAATTTTCCCTCATTTTGATGAGAGAAAGCAGCACATCCAAAAGTTTTTAACATAATATAGTTAGCACATTTACCATACCATTTTTCATGTGGAGTATCACCATTTAATGCAGTAGAAGGTGTCAAATTAATCAGATAATACGCAATCTGATGAGGACATCAGACGACGTTTACTTATTTTATTTAAGCTTTATTTATTTTCTTGGACTATTATTTAAATTTGGACTTGTATAGGTTCGGGCCCAAGCTCGTTAGGGTTGCTTTACTATTTAAACCTATTTTGCATTGTAATTTTCAGTTGATGATGAATGAATAATTATTTTGGTGACTTATGGCGTATCCCTCCCCTTATTCTACCCTCTTCTGTTAAATTCTTCTTCTTTCCCCCCTTAATTCCCTTATTCTTCTCTTTAATTCCCTCTCCCTATAGATCTGTTTTATTTCTCAATTAATTGTCTCATTGGTGTTGCATCACAATCATAACAGTTCCACCTCAAAAAGATTTAGAAATATCGGAACTCAACATCATACATCTAACTTTGTCAAGTAAAGTACGATTCATACGTTCAGCCACCCTGTTTTGTTGAGGTGTATAAGAAACAGTTTATGTCTACTAATTCCACATTCTTCACACATATCATCAAAATCTTTAATACAAAATTCTAGGCTATTATCAGTTCTTAGGTATTTTTTCTTTTTGCCAGTTTGAGTTTCAACTTGCAATTTTCATATCTTGAAATTTTTAAAGGTTTTAGTTTTATCCTTTAACAGATAAACCCACATCCGACGAGAACAATCATCAATTATGGACAAAAAATATTTATTACCACCCATTGTAAGATTAGTAGCAGGCCCCTATAAATCAGTATGAATATATTCCAAAACTTTAGTAGTTTTGTGCATGCCAGATGAAAAAGATGACTTATGATGTTTTCCAAGGACACAATGATCACAAAAGGGCATATTAAACACAGTCTTTTTCAAATACACTTTTATCATTTAGTAATTTAAGTCTTTTAATACTTATGTGAGCTAATCTATTGTGCCACTTGTGTGTATCATCTTTGTTGGTCAAATTTATAGAGGAAGATGAATGTTTAATAATTTCAGCAGCAGTCACATAAATACCGTTTCTTTTAATACGTTTACATGTGACAAGAGCATTCTTAATCATTTTTAACATGTTTCCAATTTTACCAGAAAAACCATCGATTTCTAATGCTCCTACTGAAATAAGATTCCTAGTCATTTTAGAAATATATCTGACTCCATGTAATTTAAACACATAACTAGTGTTAAATTTTAACGTGATATCACCAATTCCAGCAATTTTATATGCATGATTATTGCACAAAAATAGCATGACCACTTTCAGATTCTTGCAAATTTTCAAACTAGGTTTTATGTGATGAAACATGAAATCATGAACCAGAATCAAGTATCAATTCATGTAAATGTGATTTCACAGTCAGATTTATTTCAGTAGGTTCAGATTTTAATAACATATAAACTTCACAGCATTCATCAGAAGTAATAACATTTGCCTCATCGTGAATCTTTTCTTTTTGTTTGTTTTTCTCAACATAACAATCTTTAATGAAATGTCGAGTTTTACCGTACCTATAGCATTTTCTACTTTTAAATTTACTTTTTGACCTAGATAGACTTCTACTTTTCTTTTTACTATCAGATGCGTATCCACTTTGGTTATCATGAGTCCTAGGCTAAGACCTACCTATCATCATATGAACCTCGTCACTTTTTCTCTCGACTCTTTTGGGTCGCATTTCCATATTTTTACTTCTTAACAAGTCCATGACAATTTTAGATGTTAAAAGTATCTCTCCGGTGTTTAATAGCATTTTCAACTTCTCTATAAGTGTCAGGAATAACATTTAACAAAATGATTGCCTTATATTCTTCAAAGACTTTCTCACCACAATTAGTGATATCTTGCACAAGTTTATTGAAGACATCCAAATTGTCATCCAAATCTTTTGAAGAATTGATGTTGAAGCTGAAAAACTTTCAAGTAGAAAATATTTGCTTAGAGTGGATTTAGACACATAAAGCTCTTCCAATTTTCCCACAATTCTTGAGCTGATTTTAATTTAACATCAGACAAATGTAAAATGATAGAAGTATATGTCAATTCATCCAAAAAAAATTTCTTCAGTAGTCAGGTTTGTAGGAAAAGAGTAATCAATATCTTTAGAAACTTTTTGTTGAACAAGAATACCATTTATTTTTTGTTGTCAAATTGAAAAATCTCCTTGACCATTAAAGATACCCAACTCAAAGTGATATGTCGACTTTTCACCCAAAATGTGCACAGAACACAAATTCATATATGTAAAAGGCACAGGTCACATAGATTATACGGAGTAACAAGATTTCTATGCTTTCACAATAATACGCTATTCCAGAACCCCAGGATTTCGAGAGAATCACGTTCTCAGATCAAGGGAAGAAACTAGAATAGGAGTCTGGGTATAAGTTTAAAATAATATGAGATTAAATAACACAACAACGTACAACAAATAAATCTAAAGATGACAGAGAATGGCAAGTAATCTTAGGTTCTACCAACAAGTAATGGTTGCCAAATAATGACAACTCCCAATCCTAATGATTATCCCACACGATAATCTGCTGGTGCGATAATGTAAAAGTTTCAATCAATTTACGAGAGCGGACCTATCTGAGTCCGTAAACTACGAGAGATGCGAATTTACTGCTTTAGGGTCGCGATTTTGGCCTAAAGTAATTCAGTAAATATATATGGCAATTGTGACTGTCGACCCATCAAGGGCAAAATCGTCCAATTTTTTCTTTGTAACCTGAAACGGAAGACAAATTATATCAGTGCATTCAGGAGATCGAAATAAGCAAACTACCTGAAAGAAGCTTGTCGGAATTCCCCTCCACACGTTGTTACAGGTCGCCAGTCATTGCCAGAATCACGTACCGTCTTGTAAGAGGCGCCTCCACCTGCAGAGCTCAAATATGTGCTCAGATTTTCTTCTAGATCAATGGTTTGGCTGGAATTTGCAATTTTCGGTTCGGCCCTTTTTGAAGAAACGCGATTTAGCTGGTTTTGCTTTGATTTCGGGTCTGATTTTGGCCAGAAATTCCACCCCCACCTCGCTCTGATACCAAATGTTGATGCTAATTCCTCCTACAATTGAACAAATCAACAATGTTAGTTATGGAATTAACTTGAAATCAAAATGAAAAAGGAAAAAAACTGAAGAACAATAAATTCCCCTTTTGTTTCGGCTCAGAAAAGTTCAATCAACACCACAAAGGAAACACCAATTGGAGACTTTTGTAGTCAGAGAGACAGAGGCACACAAAGGCAGAAACTAGGTTTCTTTTGCAATCATAGGGAGAAGCACACAAAGGAAGAAGCTAGGTTTCAGAAATGCATAAAGAAGAGGCCGGTTTTGTTGTGTAGAAAGTGAGGCCAAGAGACTCCAATTTATAGGCAAAGGAAAAATAGATTTCCAAGAAAGAAGCGGCTAGATAGACTTCAAGAACACTGAAAATGGTTACCAAGGATAGTATAACCATTGCAACTATCTAAATCTCATGTGATTTCAAATTATCTCCAAAGTTTGGTATTGAACACCTAGCCCGATGGGCTGATTTCCTCTAAATACCCAACAGAATTGGGTTACATCAATTGTGTTGTGGATTTATAATATTCTTCAATCCTGGGCTTATAGCTTATGAAGACAAATGGGCCTCGGTTTTTCATCATTGCCTAGGGGTTATTTTGGCATCACTTATTAAAATACCCAACATCTAGTATTGGCTATACATTGTTGGGTCTATGTCACAATCCAAGTGATATTGTGCTGTTGATTATTAAATGCATTCCATATCATGGGATCATGTTACATACCTGATTATGTTGGCGTGCACTGACGTTTCCATGTTTTAATTTGCATAATTTGTATATTGGCCAAGAGATATTCTTGTGCGTGGATTAAAAATAAGTTGCTAGTTTAGGTGTTGCGTTACTGCAACTAAGCTCCATTTTGTTGGCATTTTATGCTAACATGTATTTGCAGTGGAATACCGTGCTTGTGTGCTCTTTGGTATCTTCATATTGTCTTATTCTATGGTGTTCGTTGTGAATATGTTCACGGCACACACCAAACAGACATTGATGTGGTGGTCAGCAAACCTTGTGAAGAATGCTTCAAGAGGGAGGCTGATGGTAGGGATGATGACAGCACCATAAAAAAGGGGTTGATGGTGCTGGGTTTGCTAGGTGGTGATAGTGCAGTAAGAAGGTGAAGCAGTAACATTTAACCCCTGTTTGGTTTAGATAAAATAAGATTTTTAGTGAATTTTGATTAAATTTAATGAAATGTGTCATTGAAAAGTTGATAAAAGTTGTGGATTCCATGAAATGTGTGTAGTTGAAAATGAGTTTGGAGGAAAAATGAGTTTGAGAAAATGGGGACCAAACTGGGGCTTATGTCATATGGAGGGGATTAACAAGTGAGTCATATTCATTGAAGAATGCTTTTATCTAGTGATCCCTTGGAGTATTTGTATTTGTTCCTGTTTCAGAGAATCTTTTCTGCATGAGGGAGACAATATGTTCCCTATTGAATGTACTTTCTAAGAAATATCTGGAGACTGCATGTGATGTAACTGCTCAGAACACTGTAACTAATGCTTCTTAGAAAATTTTATTATATTTAATCTAGGCAATAAGGAAGATCTCATGAAAGTGCAAATTTAATTTCATTAGAGTCTTTATAGTTAATCACTATAAATGAAAACATTTAGCAGCAGCAGATAAGTAATTATCATTATTTATTCATTTACTCGTGCAAGTTAAATCTTGTTGTCATTGAAGAAATTAGATTTATATCAAGATTAAGAGATTTTACAAGTGATGCAATTAAGCTTGAGTAATCTTCTAGTGCAAGGCTGTATGCAGATTATTTGATTTGAATTAATATTGGCTTGACCTTAATTTCTGTATCTATGGCTTTTATGAGTTCGTGACAGAGCCTATGTAAGAAGTGTTATTTTAAGTTACCATGCATACAGTGCGTAAAGTTTGTGCCATACTTGACACTGATGTTTCTTCTAGATTGCTATTTCCCTTTTTCATAAGTTGATGGTTCTTCTTAATGGTCTCAGAACTGTGGGTTCAGCAAATATTCCAAGAGGACAAATGACAATATTTTATTGTGGCGAAGTGACTGTGTATGATGATGTGCCAGCTGATAAGGTGTTGGAGCTTCTTTGAATTGCAAATATATTGAGGCAATTTCGATGTTTCAGTCTTTAACTTGTTTTTCAGGTACATGCAATTATGCACATCGCTGCAAACCCACTCCAGTGTCCTCAGGAACCACCATTTGACGGCACTGTAACAGTGCAACCTTCGCCATGCCACTCACAGGCTATTGGTGGCAGTGTATGCCCTGATTCTGCAGCAGTACTCTCACCGACTTTGCAGACAGGTGATTTAAATCTCAAGTTCCCTGTTGGCTTTCATGTCTTTCTGAGCCTCAAACATATACTTTTCATAACTATAATTTGTTAAATCTGTCTGTGCCTCTAAAGAGACTCTCTCTTTGGAACTTCCTTACCAAGATCATTTGATTACTGAATGGTTGAAAAATTCATAAAATCTCTCTCTCTCTCACACACACATGCACGCGTGCGCACACACACACACACACACTCATGTCAACATTGAAAGCTTTTTATCACATTAGTAGTTTGAAAGATAAATACAGTATTCTTACTTTTTATCAAATAACTCGATTGGTTACTCGCGCTTTAGAATTGCTGGAAGTTCCTGAGGAGCCTTGATTATCTGAAATTTGATTTCTATATAAACAAGTTCCCCAATAAAATTTCTTAACATTTTTTTACAGCAAAAATGAGTGACAACTCTCGACTGCATGGGGAAGAAAGTATCATGCTTCATGAAGATTACGCTGGTGACGTTTTGGATTTTTTGTCTGCATTTAGCATGATTCACCCAACTGATTTTGATTCTCATTTTCAAACAAGGTTGTAGACGACCTGTTTCCCAAAATAGAACGATGACAAAAATGATTTTGATTCATATGACTGCATCTTGCACTTAGGAGGTCAATAAGACTGAATTGAGTGTTTCTTGATTGCAGAATGTGTAGAAATATAATATTTGCAACAATTTTCTGTGTAGTCGGAGTGAAAAAGAAGAAAAAGATTAGAATGGTAGATTTTGTCCCAAGGAAATTCTAGAAGTCTTTGGACTATTGGAGTTATTTAACAAAAGATTGAATTTTGTACATTAAATCTCAATTGTTCGGTCGTTTGGTCTATCAATCTAAGGATCGTAATTATTTAAAGGCCTCCAAAAATAGAGACCGTCACTTTAAAATTATGGGTTGTTTGACAAAGCTTTTGATAAAAGTTTTAGCAGATTTTAATAAAAATTCATAAATTGTATGGTCGACAAGTTGATAAAAGTTGCGGGGTCCATGAAATGTGTGGTTAAAGTTGATGTTATACATCGAACGAGCACTTAGTCGAACTATCATCTTCCATTTGGAAATATTCGTGAAATTTTTTTATTATAGAATTTTTTCCACTGTTGTTAGAACTTAGGATTTCATATGGGCCATTTTGGTCGTATCCTGGATTCTACTTCTGATTCTAGATTGACCAGAATAATTATAATTGAAGCCTCATTTGTATTAGGGAATTGTGGATAGGCTTGCTATAATTAAAAAATAAAAAATAAAAAAAAATAAAAAAAATTCATTAAATCTAATTCCAAAAAACCCAAGCAATTGAATGATGAACAACCGAAAAGTCTCCATGCTCATAAGAATCTTCCAGATATATTTAGGAATCCCCTTTTTTTTTTTTTTTTTTTTTTTTTTTTTTTAAAAACAAAATTAAAAAAAAAAAAAAAAAAAAAAAAAGGAAAAAATGGAAAGGAAAAAAAAAATACTATTTCACTCATTGAATTTTTTTTTTTAAAACCAGAATTAGATTTAGCTAGCATTGTAGGATTGATTAATTAGGTTGAATCCATATCATTCCATCATGGTCTTATAGACTTGATGCGCAAGTTCTAAGTCCTCGCACAAAATCAATGTGTCTTGTTCTCACAAAACCCATGTGCATGCACGTAGGGGACACATTCAAGTGGATCTGCATGCTGAAATTAGTGAAGCGCATGTAAATTAGTTTCTCATGAATAGGTCATTGAACACTTTTTCAAGTGTGGGACAATTAGATAATACAAGTTGAATGTAAACGTGACTTGTATAGTGGAATATATATGTACCAAATTAGTCTCTCTAAGATAGTTATGGACTAATATAAACTTTCTTTATTCTTACTTGTATATATACTATTTTGTGATAATGAAAATAATTTCTCTTCCAATAGTTAACTATACTTGTTTCAATTACTTTTACATTTGATCTCGTTCCTTTTCAAACACATTTATTTGGAAATTTTCCTACAATATTAACTATTTTTTTTTGGATGGGTGGGAGGTGCGGTGTGTTGTAGGTTGTTTTTTCCTCAATTTGTCAGTGTCTTCCAAAATAAAATAAAAAAAGAAAGAAAAAAATTGGTGAGAGTTGTTTCCCGAATCCGAAAGAGAGTACTTCCAATACCTAACAAGTGTAGTATGGTGTAACAATTGGATTGAAAAATTGAAAGATGGGTATGTGCTGGAAAAATCATCTTCGTGTTATCAGGAAAATTAGTAATCTATGACAAGAAGAAAAGCAAAGAACTAAGTGACAATCTAGTTGATCCAAGAATATTGTCCTGTATTCTTTGCCAAATGTCATTCTGATGTAATTTCATCTTTCAAACAGCGGAAGGTCCATCAGCCAGAAAAGCATCAGTTCAAAGATATCTTGAGAAGAGAAAAGACAGGTACCATAAACATTAAGCTTCCTTCTGTTACTAACAGAAAAGAAACACGAAAAGTGCTGCTTTTCTTTCATTCCTCATATCTCCGTTAGATGAAGGTTTAAGAGCAAGAGAAAGATAGGAACGAACTCGTGTGCTGGGTTGGAAGTATACGTTAACCATGAAGTAGGTAATCAGATACCAAATGAGCACTCAAGGAGAAGTGATGCATGTTCCCCGCCCCAAATCAGACCAACTTCTACGCCTACATGGTGCGGCTTGGTCGACTTTTCTTATCATTAATATATGGCTAGAATGATAACAAGGGTTCATATAGTGCTACTGTTTGTGCCATTTGTTGGTTGATGTTACAGTCTGTTATTTTTTGCTATAAGTTGGAATATAAAATATCAACTTACAGCGCAGTATCTACATCTTATAAAATGATTATATTTTACACTAGTTCAAAATATTGCTTGTCATTTTAATTCTATTTGTGACATGCTGGAATTAATTGAAAGCACAAGAAAAAAGAACCCGAGATTGTAATGATGGATTTTTTAATATTGATTTCAGGTTTAATGTACTCGAGAAGATGAGCTGAGGCGGCCATGATGGTTGTTTGTTTCCCACTATGATGAGGATTATGAAGCCATTTCAATTTTTGATGGTCAGCTGAATCAACATGAGATGCTGCATAGATGTGCCTCATGAGAATTCATTAGGTACTTGTGTCCATAGTAAGGGGCTGCTGCTATTTCAGTTCAACGAAGAGAAGAGCAGAGTCGTTATTTTTATTCCTCATAACCATGTTTTAGCGTTTGAAATCGATGTATGAGAGAATGATTTTTGGCTTCTTGCCTTCTTTCGGATTACTAGTATCATTTGGTTTATTTGTTGCATTAATTGGCAAGGATATTTTAACTCGTTCATGTAACTGATCCTATATTTATTGGAAACAAGCTTAGTTTGATGTTGTTGGATAAATATGTGATGGAGCACTACAGCATTAATCCTTGTCTTGTTTGAGTAATTTGTACGTGTCTGTCCCTTGCTGTTTATTCATATGGTAGTTACTTAACAAGAATGAACGATGTAAAGTTGTCCTTATTTAAAGATTTAAGTCCAATTGAAATTCATAAGCATCCCACACTATCATGTTGGAGGAATCCTCTTGGATTGATGTACTCGGTCAACAAGGATGCAGGATGTTGATGCATCTTCAAGCAACTCGATCGGGTGGGCCTCGTTTGAGGGAATTAGGTTCAGTTAAGGGGAATCGACGTGGTGCTGAGTTCCAACACACACAATCATTCGCACTCCATGCAAAATGCAGAATAAGCTCATGTTTGGAAACCATTAAAAATGAGTTTTTAAGGAAAATGGATTTTGGGGAAGTGATTTTTTGGACATTGTGTGGTTAAAAAGTAGGAATTTTTTTTTGTATTTGTATGATGGAAATTTTTTTGTATTTGTACGATACTTTGTTGCGAGAATTTGTGGTTGAAAATGAATTTAAGAAAAGAGAAAAGAGTTTCGTTTTGATGGTTGTCAAACATGAACTAAATAGATAAAATTTTAAGGGTAGCTCTAACTACATCCATGCTTTTTATAAGTATATCCACTTTTAAAAATAAAATTTTACTATATTTTTTAAGTCATATATAAATTTACTTAAATAGAAATAAGTAATAATGAAATCCACACCTATTTGTTAAATTAGTTACTTCAATTCTACGCAAATCATCAAAATTATATTCTGCCTGACGGCAAATTATAATTGGCAATTGGCTACTGTTCAGTTTTGAGTTTTACCAACAAACCCCAACAGTTCTTTTGTTCTTCTTCTTCATTTTCTCATTCTTTTTTTTTTCCCCATTTTTTTCAAAATCAAATGATGACGGGTGGCTGATGATTTTAGGTTGTGTTTGGACGTGGCTGTAGGGTGGTGGGTTTTGGTTTTTTGTGGGTGTGGGGTGAGTGTTTGAGGAGGAAGAACATGTCTTGATTTTGTCCAATGACACGATGAGCAGCACCTTGTTGCCGGAGAAGAACGGAGGAGTGGGATCGGAGGGGGACCAGGGGGGGACATTGGGATTTGGGAAACTGGAATTTGTCTTTTGACTTTTGTTTTTTTTTTTTAAAGTTTTAATATTATTCTAAGTTTACTCATATAGAAATTTGACATCCACTTACGGATGATCCAGCAAAGTTATCATTTGTATGATTGCTTTAATAATAAAATTGCCTTCTTTGGGCCAAAAAAAAAAAATGTAGTCTCGGATATAATGATGAGTTTGCCAATCATAAATGCCAGAAACGATTATTGTTTGTAATCCAATGATAATTATTTTATCTCATTTTAAATATCCCCTGTTTTGTTCTTATTTCATTCATTTGTTTTGAAATAGTTTATGATTTTAGAAATTGTATAAATCTATAGTGTTAGGAATCTATTTAAAGTAGAATGAATATATAAAATTCACGTGAATATATAATATTTAAATGAATGGATTTAATAAGGGCAAAATTG